AATATTTCATCCTCTGTGTAGTAGGTTCTTTTAAAATATTGCTACTTGCTGGATTGAGTGAAATAATTAGTTAACTAATGACTCTTCATAATTATTTCATGGAGGATGGTAGAGTTTTAATCATACTGCTAAAAGAGAAATGTATTTGGTGGCCCTTTCTGGCCACAGAATGAATTTTTGAATGGCATGACATCATCTAGCTCTCACTGCACCTCCCTGTGCTGGATACCAGCACATTGGACTGAAGCCCCTTTGTTCCCTGTGGAGAGGCTGCCACCTCTGCAGACTTGTCCTCAGGAATGTCGTTCTAGAAATAGCTAGCTTTCACCCTGGGGTCCGCTAGCTGTACACAGAAGTTAATTCATTGGAGAGACTAGCTTTTCTTAGGCCCTTTGTAAAAGTATTTCAGAGAGTCCCTCATGGTAAAACAGAGAAAGTAGGTTTCCTCTTCTATTTCTTTCCAGCTCTTGCCTCATTTGCTCTATGTTTCCCTTACCACCTGACATTTGATTTTCACTGAAAGCCTTTACCTGCAGACCTAGACTCCCCATGACCCCCACCCTACCTAGCTCCATTCACTCCAATTTGTAGTTAAGTCACACTCCACCAGACCATCTCATCTTTGCTGCTAAGTTGCTGAAAGCAAACTTGAATGAACACAAATGATCATAAAGTGAAACTCATAGGTTCATCTTTTTTTCCTTTTAGTCTCTTTGAAATTTTTGTCTTGTAATAAATCATTCTGAATATGCTTTCATTGTAAAACAAAATAAAACCAAAGGTACTGTTGTTAGCTAAGTATCTATCTTTCATTGCTAGAGCTTTTGATTATTTTTATATTCTAGCATGTTTAAAAAATATATATGGTTATAATAAAATTCAAATACTATGGAAGTCCGAATAGTAAAAAGGTGAATGTACTCGTATCTCAGAATCCCATGCCATTTATATTTCTTGTCCATCACTGTTAACAGTGATAATAACCTACCAGACCTTTATAAAATGCACTTATATATGTGTGTGTGTGTACTTACACAAATCATTTTATTTCTTAGATAAATGGGTATACTACCTATGTCTTTTCTATAACTTTCTTTATCCAGTTACTGTCTCTTAGCTTTCCATGTCAGTACCTATGAGGGATGTTTAAAATTTGTGGAAAAAT